GCTATGACATCGATTCTAATTCGAGCTCGGTACCCGTCATTTTCGGTACGCGAGAGCAGACTAAAAAAACGTGGAATCAAACTGGGTGACTTCTTGTCCGCTTCTGTTCCCATGGGAAAACCAGTTGAGAATTTCGACAAAGTGAACTACAAGTTCACAGTGAATGTGGATGGGAATACGGCAACGATTGAAGACCAAGAAGCTGATTTAGAGAAAAACGAGGATGAAGTTTTGGTTTCCCGAGTGAAAGCTTTCGGATCTGTCAGATCGATAAAACAGAATATTCCAGTTGGGAAATATCGAATCAACATCAGGGCGTAAGTTCAGTGATTACAAATGAACATATGGTTTGAAGAATCAAAAATGTTTCCAGAACCAAACCAAGCGAAGAATACATATTCTCTTTCCTCTACGCTCCAAGAGAATATGTTTTTCTGTTTCATCACTTTGAAAGAGGGTTTTGATCTTACAAGTTCATTATACATAGGTTTTACGTTCAATTAATAAGGTTTTTACGTTCAATTAATAAGGTCGTATGATGGTGTTAGTACATGACAGCGCTATGCTTTGAGTTCAGCTCAAACTACTAGTAAAAACAAGGGGTTTGAGAGTCGATAGAAATGGAACATGATAAAAGTATGAAGCGATATCGATAAATTAGTATAAACACAAAACACTAGTTAATCAACAATAAACTAAAATGATAATTATTACTCGAAATCTTCGTCGTCCTCCTCGACTCCAATTCCGTTCTCTTGGGGATGCAGGCATCCTTGGGCTCTCGGCACATCCTTGATGTATCGTTGTAGACCTGCCAGCGATCTCCATCTCCCTCTTGCTTGAATCTCCTCCATTGAATATCCTGTCGCCCTCATGTGATTCGCTCCTCCTCTCCGGAAAGCGTGATGGGTGGCTCCAGATTTTCCAATTGCCGCCAGCATCTTAGTGGCTAGTGCAGAGATCGACGATTTCGTCAGTTTCTTTGAACCATCAAGATTCGAGAAAACGTACGGACACTTTCCTCTTGAGTGAATCCTCCATCTACACATGAGAATATCCGCGTCACTTCCTGGATCATAGTTGAAGAACGATGATCGTCCTAGTCTCCACTGGTCATTCTTGGCCTTCTCCACGTGTACCTCAATCATCCCATCTTTTTGCGTCACTCCTTCCCACTTGATCTCGGCGGCTTCCGAAGCTCTCAGCATGACGTGAAAGGAAAAGATTGCAGCTTGATATGCAGCCGATATTTTCGACAGAGCGCTGCTTCCAATTCCTTTCGCTCGATCGACCAAATACAACAAAAAGGAAGACTCATTCAACGGAAGTCTCTTCTCAATTATCCAATCCTTCCTCCTCTTGTTCTCTGCTTTATAAGCCAGAGCAGTCGACGAGGCCTTAGATTCCAGTGGAGCCGCTTTGAGCTTGTCCAGGTGCGTCTGGAATTCTTTCCCTGCTTGTCTCTCGATCTCTTCGATGTAATCCTTTTTGGGGCCTTCTGAAAATTAGTTTATAAACTCTTTTGCCCTTCTTTATTCCTCTTCCCCGGGCGGGCGGGCTGGGACCCTCGTTAAAATTGCGTAGAATGGTTTGAAAACTCCGTTTTCACGCCCGGCGGTCGTGATCGTTGCGAGACCACAAGCCGCCGAAAGTCTATGCGCCTTTAACTCTCGCGCGCCTCTTTCTCCGTTCTTCAACGAAAAACATAATATTCTCTTTCCTCTACGCTCCAAGAGAATATGTTTTTTTGTTTCATCACTTTGAAAGAGGGTTTTGATCTTACAAGTTCATTATACATAGGTTTTACGTTCAATTAATAAGGTAGAAACAAGTGCAAAGCCTGGGGCCTATTGAGTGAAATCTAAAAATGCTAGAATAAAATCGGACCTACAAAATTTTGAGTTAGTAGCCTCGCAATGCCTAGATCCCTCCCCGGGAATGAAAATACAATCGTTTTTCTCGTAGATAATATAGTCTTTTACTTCCCTTATGAACCTCCCTGAATAATCTACAAGCGCCTGATAAGAAATATGACTTTTCCACAACGGGGCAACTAGCACGCCTCTCAATCTCCTTCTCCTCATAATTTTTATTAACTGAGGTATCAAAACTGGTGGAGGTACTAACCAAGGAAGTCCCATTCGCTCTGCTCTCTCGACGTGCTCGAAGACGTTGACTCCGCTCGTTCCAAACTCGGGATATCTAGAAAAATACAATTCCGTCTTCTTATTATTCGCATCTGCGAACCAGTCCACTTTTATCTCGCCCCACATTCTCTGCGCTTGACTAAACACTCGCTCAGCTATTCCCCAGTCATCAAAATCAAAGTTTCCACTCGCTTCGTCCGCTTCTACATTTTCCTTTCTAGGAATCCACAAAAACGAGCTCTCACCGACGTTCTCCAAGTTATGCCACACTCTCTCAGCTAAAGAATGCAGCTCTGGCTTCATGGAGCCTCTTCTCAACACGCTCACGGCTGCCTGACTATCGACTAACACCTGAACTCTCCCTTTCAGGTTTGAACTTATTCTCGCCGAAGCCACTTCGACCGCGGTCAACTCTCTCCAAGCGCTCGACTGTTTTTCAAAGTTTCCATCGCCGATTTCTGTCATTTTCCACAAAATATCCTGCCTCTCATTCTTTAACAAGCCTCCAATACCACGCGCAGAGGCATCGGTATACAGGAATAAGTCGGGCTTTGACTCAACTTCTAATAAATTTCTTCTCAAAAGTTCTGCGCCTCTCGCTCTCCAGAACTCAATCTCTTTTTCCTCACCTGGAGACTTGTTCTTCCTTGCCATCTTCGACTCACTCTTCTTCTTCTGGTTTTCGCCGACCACCTGCATCATCCATCTTGCCTTCGCCACACCAATGTCACCTGTGACAAGCTCAAATGATGCCTGGCATCCCAAAAACTTCATACGGTCCAGAACCGTTGGAGCCAGGCTCCTCCTCAACTCATCAGAGCAGACCACCACGTGGCCATTCTCTTCTCGGTTCCACGAACCTCTTTCGCGACCAGGTCGCATTCATAACCAAGCCACGTAAACTTAGCGTCTGGCACCCAGAACGACTTTTCTTCTGCCACACACACACCAGCATTATGCAGATCTTCTCTCACCTTTCTCACTGCTCTCGCGACTTCTCTCTCCGTCTCACCCACAACTAATCCATCATCAAGATATAAAAAGATTTTTATACCCTCCGCACGCCATTTTTGAACTAAGACTTTAAAAATTTTTGTGAAAAGCCAAGGGGCAATTGACAAACCAAAAGGTAAACCCTTAAACAAAAAATATGGGGCGGCGGGAGGGTTCGACAGCGAAAAACCGAGAAGATCTCTTGAATCGCGATGAATTTTTATATGATGATAGCCTGATTTGAAATCGAAAGTGGCCGCAAATTTCGCAATTTTCTAGAAAAGGCCAGGCTGTCTTCAAATTCTCTAGTTTAAATCGAGGAGGAACCAGGCTCTCATTAAGCTCTCTCAAATCCAAAATCATCCGCTTTTTCTTACCTTGTTCCACAACGTGGAGCGGGGACACACATCTCGGCTCTTCTTCAACTCTGACGACGACACCTTCTCCCTCCAACCGCTTAATTTCTACAATCAAGAACTCTTCATGTCGTTTTACCGACGGCCTGAGGCCTTGTGGTTCTGGTAAAATTGTCTCTGAATTCAGCTGGATTTTATAGCCATCCTCAATTACACTCAACACCCATTCTACATTACAAATGCTTTCCCAAAATTCAATGGCTTTGGGAAGTCTCTCCGGAAAACACTTACCTTCGTTGTTCACAATCATTGGCATAGTGCCCATATCCTTGGCATTTGTAGCAGCGGATGCTTCTCTTGCCGTCTCTGCCTCCATAACCTTGGCCTCCATTTTGCCGAGTATTTCCCTGGCCTCGGAAAACACCCTCTGATCGAAACCACTGTTGTCTGCTTGGCAATGGATCTTGTCTTCTTCTTTTTACGTCTCCATGTTAACCTCCACTTTTATTTCCAGCTATTCCAGTAAGGTTAGACAGGAGCAGAATCGACGTCATATCGGCTTGAGTCGAAGATCCTTCCGAATCTCCTCCAGAAATCGCCTTCAGCGCGTCCAACTTCTCTTTCGTTTGTAGCAAATTCGGATCCGAGTCCAGCAACAACAATTCTCCGTTTCGAGACTTGATTAACTCCAGAACCTCTTTCACTCCATTCTCCAGATCATCGGCTGCCATCGCTTTACTCAAAACATTCTTTATTTTGAAATTAAAATCGATGTTCTTCTGGATCCCTTTTAACGAAACTTTTGGCGGCTTCTCCTCTTCCACTTCTTTCTCTTTCTTCCTCTGATCCACTCCTACACTGATTAGTTCCGCTACCTTGACAAGAATTTCTTCTCCAAACTCCTTCAACGCTGCTTTATTGATAGCATCAGCCATTTTTCTTCAAGATTTCGCCTAAACAATATATTAGTGAAAATTGACGGATAAAGAACCTTATTATCTCCCTATTACCGTTTTCGACACAATTAAACAAACAGAAAAAAAAATAAAAAACTCTCAAAAAACACGAAAAACAGGCTACGACCTCGTTAAAATTGCGTAGAATGGTTTGAAAACTCCGTTTTCACGCCCGGCGGTCGTGATCGTTGCGAGACCACAAGCCGCCGAAAGTCTATGCGCCTTTAACTCTCGCGCGCCTCTTTCTCCGTTCTTCAACGAAAAACATAATATTTTTTTTTTCTTTCAATATAGAATTCTCCAAAAAATTACAGTTTCAACTTTTTTAAAAATCAAAATTTCTGATGTTGTTTTCATAAGTTTGTTTTCCTCCAAATTATTCATTTAAAAATGAAGCAATAAAATTCGAATTTCGAACTACAAATAATTTTATTACAATTTTCGAAAAAAAAGATAAAAAAATCACTGTTTCAAAATTTCTAAAACGAAATTGTTCAATTTTTTGTTTTTATTGGAGCGAATTCATAGTTCTCTTTTTTCCATTTTTGATATATTCTAACAATTTTTAAGAGTTTTTGTTTCAGTTTGTCCCATTCTTAAAATTTTTGTGGAAGTTTTCGAAATCTCAGAAATCAGAAGTTACTGTTTCAGAAATAAAATTTGAAATTTCAGAACGCTTCTATTTTTTGTTCGGAGAGTTCTATAATCTTGGAAAAACGGACCCACAGCTGAGAAAAACATTTGAAAACTTCGAAAGCGGATCTCATTTTTCAAAGTGTACAGTTATTGTTTATCCCATCAAAAAAAAAATAGACGTTGAGCCTAGTAAAATGGAGGTCTCTAATTCATCTCATTTCAGATTTCACAACAATCAGCTGAATAATTTCAGTCTTCTTTTTTTCTGAAATCCAAAAATCAGTGACGAAAGTGTTTTCCCTCCTAGTCCTCTTGAGATTCCATTATCACACTCCTTATCAATAAACGTCAAAATAACAAAGGCCTGAAGCCAAAACATGTTAATGCTCTCGTCATTGTAATTTCCGGTCAACTTTGAACTTCTTTTTGTTTTGAACGTTAAACATTCCTCCTGTTATTGCCTGTCAATTTGGTTGCACTTCTTGGTTAGACGGCAAAACAGTGAACTAGACCACCTTATCTCCGTTGAGTCTAAACTTTTGGTATTTTGATGATTTTTTTACACTATGTTAGACGCCAAAACATTTCAGACATACATCATTAAACCAAACAGCGTTATCTCTTTCAAGGCCAAATTGTTAAGTTGTTATGCGTTAAACCTTTATGATGGTATTTTGTTTTTTTACTGATAAGATCCCAAAATGCTCACTATAAAAGGAAACATGAGAGCATAAGAAATCATCCCAAATTGCATCCTGAAAAATGAAGCTTATTATCTGTATTCTTGTCATCTTCGGATGTGCCAGTGCTCAGTTGAAAAACATTACTGCAGAAGCCATCTTGAAATATCACAATGACTTCAGATCCTCTATTGCTAAAGGAACCTATAGTACTATTAAAGGACTCCTACCAGCAGCATCCAACATGCGTAAAATGGTTAGTAGAGAGTTTGAAGCTAACTAGCTTTTGAGCTAACTAGCTTTTGAGCTAGCTAAGCTTTTGAGCTAGCTAGGTTTTTGAGCTAGCCAAGCTTTTGAGCTAGCTAGGTTTTTGAGCTAGCCAAGCT